GATCCGCAGGGAGTTGGTGCAACTAAAAGGCGCAACCTCACCGAAGGGGTTTTGTTGGAAAGACGTTCAACTCCAATGATGCCGAAAAGCTACAGGTATTTCAGGTATAACCCAAAGTCGGGCTTGGTAACAGTTGCCGAGATAACTTATTAAGCCCAGCCGAATGGATCATGGTCTGACTTTTTGAAGCAACCCGCCAGGTCCAAGTCAGCTGCGTACGTGTAGCTGACTGGGAGTTCCCCATAAATAAATAATTGACCAACAAGGCTCCCTATCCAACCACGTACTAACCCCCAGAGGAGGGCATGGATGCGTACGTACATACGCGGTCATCAAAATTGGGACCGGATCACTGCATCTGAGGCTAGAACCTTGCAGATGCGTGGAGAGGCGATCGAGAAAAAGCTTGGGTTGCGCCCTGCAACTATGGCTTGCCTGTTCATGATCTCCCTCCCCACCACCCCTTTCCCCTCATCCGCATAGACACTCCACCCACCCCCCGGGACTTTCGTCCTCCCCCCGCGCCGCCTCGCCACCAGATCGGCCAGGTTGCGCGTATCCAATTCTGGTGGGTAGCAGCCAGTAAATTCTCCCCATAGCGGGTTGGATAGGGCTTTGGGGAGGCCGGCGAGGAGGAGGTGGTGTAGGGATTTGGTCTCGCCTAGGGGGGTGTTGGGGTTGGGGTTGGGGTTGGGAGGGTTGAGGGAGGGGGTGGTAGTGGTGGTGGTGGTGGGTTTGGAGAGGAAGAGGTGGGGGGAGGCGTCGGGAAAGGCGATGTAGACTGTGCGGGAGGCGTTGAAAGCGGTGGTGGTGGTTTTTAGGGCGTGCTCGGTGTTGTAGGGGGAGTCGAGGATGAAGATGCGGAGGATGAGGAGGGGGAGGGTCTTGTGGGTGTCGAAGTTGTAGTGGGCTTTTACGTCGGGCAGGACGTGGGATTGGAGGGTGCGGAGGAAGGTGGAGGGGTGAAAGCGCGGGATGGTGAGGGACTTGTCGTCGACCTCGGACGGCTCCTCGCCGTCTGGGTCGCGGGGCGGTTTCAGCGGGGCGATGCGGTAGGCGGACCACTTTTGGGATGTCGGGTGGTCGTAGAGGTACTGTAGGTCGGCCATGGCCAACTGGTAGAGAGTCAAGCCGTGGCGCCAGTCACCCTCGATGATGCGGTCTAGAACCTCCCGTTTTGATCCTTTGCGGGCCTGCAAAGAGGTATAGAGTTCCCGGAGAGCTTCCAGGGAGCGGGCTGGGGGGTGGAAGTCGCCGGTGTCATGGTCCTCATCTTCGTCCTCATCCTCGTCCTCGTACTCGCCTCTGTTCTCGCGCAGGTAAGGCAAAGCCAGAGGCAGGTTGTTCTCATCCAGCCAATCGAGGGCAACTGAGATAAGAGATGAACGCGATAGGCGGCCGAGGATCTTGGTCGCTGTCGGGTTGGTCGGGTCGACGCGCAATGCCGATGGTAGACGCGCTGTTGTGGGGACTGAGATGCGGGTCATTGTCCGAGGTCAAGGCTTGAATGGCAATTGTGCTCTTTGGGCCTCAGACCGTCATGGGGATATTTTGCTGGCCTTGAATGAGTCTCAAACTCACCGTGTGTTTGTTGAGAGGGTCTTGATGTTGTTGATGATGGAAAACCGTACTGTGTGAATCGGTTCCACAACCGCGACGGGGGTTGTGCCAAGCAATTAAAGAGCTTCCACCCGCTGTCCCAAACAGCAGCTGTCAGTCCACCACTCTGTGCCATCTGCCACCTGTACATCCCCCTCGGCGGGGGTCACCCCCCCGCTTTCTCAGACGAAATCGGACTATTTCGCCGCCTGAAACTCGTGTGCGTGGATTTGGCTCCTGCCCACCAGTATCGCCCTATTTTGGTGGCCCTGTGCTGCGGAGGCCGGCGCATTGAGATAGGGGCATAGTGACCGCCACGGAAAATCGAGACAAACCATCCAGAACTGTCGCTTTTCGGTGACGTTACGGAGTTGTGCCAGGCATGTTTGCCCCATGTCATTCCGCCGATGGGACAACAGAGCCGGGCCCTCAAGCACTATCGAAGCTATTGCTCCCCTTGCCTTGGTAAACCACAACAGAAGACCTCCCTAGCACATACGGCCTTACCTGCCAGAAAACACGGGATCCCGTCCGCTCTCCCCTAGTTAAACTCACAAGGGCCATATCAGCAGCTGGGTCGGTGGCCAACGAATCCCTGATGTTGGTTTGTTCTTTTTTGGGGATTAAAAGCCTCTCATTCCGACTTTTTGGCGTTCCGCGTACTTACTCCGTAGCGAGTCTTTCCGGCCCTTGTGGCGGCCCAGCGGCACACTCAGGAGTCCCACTGTGGGGCGCGGCGCATCGATCCGATCCGCGGTCTCTCGAAACGACGACCACATCTGATCTTTGTCGGAACTGCGACAGGAAAAGGCGCGGGACGGGGCGCGCCGCGTCGGGCCCGCACCCTCCAAAGCGGAGAGCAAGATGGAAAGAGCATGTTTGCTCCTTGGGTGGTCGCTCTACTCGCGGCCTTGGTGCGTAGAGTCAGGATCAGAAGACCGTGTCGCTGATGCTCCCGATATGTCCGTGGTACGCTTGGTTAATGAGTATCCTTGAACGACTTTGGCCGTTCGTCTTGCATATGAAGAGGAAGTACGGAGTTACTCTACTGCCATTCGTCAATAGCACCGCCACAGCTTTCTTTTGGACGGCCGACCGCCATACAGGCCAGCCTCACCTCATCTTTCAGCTCCGCCCCGCAATAACCGCCCGAGATGCAGCTGTTGACTTCACATTGTTTTACCGTTGCATAGGATCTCTTCTTTCTCGACAAGAATCCCCATCGGAACCATGTCTGCTGAATACAAGTCGAAGTCGTGGAAGAAGTGGTTGAAGAAGCCCTTCGGGCGGCGTCGTGCAGCCTCGCCGGCTCCGTCTGCCACACTGTCGACGGGTATGTTGAGACTCTGCCCCGCATCGCAAGGCTTCTCGTAACTGATATTCTCCGGCAGACATCCAGTCATCCGATCAGGGAAATGCAGAACACGGATCGAAAGCGTCTTCCATTGTCGCAACAGAGTCATGTGCCCCCCCCTCCCCGTCTGCCGCAGCGGCGAAGGCTGCCCAACCCCGCACAAATGCGAGAGTTCCCAACGATCACCAACCACCCGCGGCATCGCAAGCACTGCCTCCTGCTCTGCCCGCCGAACCCGCACCCAAACCTCCGCCGACCGAATGTACAGACCCACCGACCCCTACCCTTTCCGTGTCCGAGAGACTGTGGAACGCCGCCTACGACAGTCTTGAGACGGACAATGCAGAGCTTGTCGTGTCATACCTGAAAACGTTGGAAACAGTTCTCGGAGCCAACCCAGGTATTACCCCTGACACCGACATCTCGGCCGAGTTCCATGACCCGACCAAACGACAGATACACATGAGGAGGCTGGTGGAGGAAGGCCGGGCAAAACTTTCCAGAGCGTCCAAAATCACGAACGGAGTAGGCGACGTCGCCGATTTCGTCCTGTCGGTCAAGGGAATAATTGACCTGGCTGTCCAAAGCGTGCCGCAGGCTGCGCTTCCGTGGGCCGGTGTTTGCGTTGGACTGCAAGTAAGCAGTCGTCCTTCGAACACCCCTTTGTGCTTGGCTCTGCTAATATGCCTCCAGATGCTCCGGAATCCCGCGCAAGCGATGAAATCCAACCTTGCCGGTCTCGCCCATGTCATCTCCAGAATGGACTGGTACTGCGCGCTCACCGAACATCTCCTGAACAAGCAAAACGTTGCTACTGGCAAGGATATCCAAGCAGTCTTGCGCCAGCTGGAAAGGAGCATTGTCGAGCTCTACAAATCTCTTCTCCAATACCAGATGAAGAGTGTTTGTTCCTACTATCACAATCAAATGCTTGAATTCCTCCGCGGTATGGTCAATCTGGATGATTGGGACGTCGATCTGAAGCTGGTCACCGACGCAGAGGCTACCGTTCAGAACGATGCTGCCCAATCCTTTCAAGAACAAACGAAAATTTCCTTAGGAAAACTTGTTGAGCATGCCGAGGGAATGGAGAGACGACTCGGCGACATCCGTCAGGACATTCGGGACTTCATCTCGCTGCAGAAGGACGCCCGTAGGGATGATATCGAGTCAGCGTGCCGCAGAGATCTCCGCGTCGTTGATCCGCAACACGACATGGAGCGGATCGAGAAGAATAAGGATGAACTGCTCGATGACGCGTACAAGTGGATCCTTCGCACCCCGGAGTATACAGCGTTCACAAACTGGGACGATAGCGGATCCGATCATCTGCCACGTCGATTGCTCTGGATAAAAGGACACGCCGGCACGGGAAAGACGATGCTCATGATCGGGCTCATTCGCCAGCTCTCGGATCAACCTGTTGCCCTATCACCAGCACTTTCCTTCTTCTTCTGCCAAGGCACACACACAGCCTTGAACAACGCCACCGCCGTCCTCAGGTCTTTGATCTGGCTTCTTCTTCTTCAGCAGCCATGCCTCATATCCCATCTACTTCAGAAGTACAAAGAGTCAGGCGCGGATCTCTTCAGGGATCAAAATGCCTTCATTGCCCTGTCCGAGGTGTTTCGGAATATGTTGAAGGATCCTCAGTTGTCGCCTGTGTACCTCGCGGTCGACGCTCTTGATGAGTGCGTGCAGGGGCGATCGGACGTCATCCATCTTATTTCGACTTCCCTCAGCGTCTCCCAGAAGGTGAGATGGCTACTCTCTAGCCGTCCAGAAGTTGACCTTCTCGCTGGACTCAAGGAACAGAGTGTTAACTCCTTCAACCCTTCCAACTCCCTCGTCGAGCTAGATACTCAGCGTCTGGAAGAACCTGTCAATGCATACATCAACCATAAGCTTATGGGGTTCAAGTATAGGGGAGGATACGACGACCGCGTTTTGGCTGAGGTCTCTCGTGAAGTCCGGCAACGAGCAGAGAACACGTTCCTCTGGGTGGCTCTCGTGTTCAAAGAACTTAGTTCGGTGGAGGGCTGTGACGCTGTCGAGACCGTCCAGAGCATCCCTCCGGGCTTGACAGATTTGTACGGTCATATGATGACCAGGATTGATGAAGGGAACGAGCGAAACCGGCAACGCTGTAAGAATGTACTCGTGGCTACATTCCTTGTGCATCGCCCTCTGTCACTCTCCGAGCTTATTGTAGTTGCAGGTTTGCCAGCGAAGATTAATCCCCGGGCAGTTGTGGATCGATGCGGCTCATTTCTAACAATCAAGGACGAAACGGTCTACCTAATCCATCAGTCCGCGAAGGACTATCTGGGCGACAATTACGCGACTAGACTTCAACCGGCTGGGCCCGCTCAAGGGCACAGCGAGATTGTCAGACGCTCGACTGATGCGATGTCCTCAATGCTGAGACACAACATATACAACCTCGACCGCGGCTTTAAACCGGAGAATATGGCGGCCCCTGATCCAGATCCGCTAGCTCCAATACGATACTCTTGTGTCTTCTGGGCTGACCATCTCTGCTCCCTGAATAGCGACAACTCCAGGTTTCTAGGAGAATTGACAGACGACGGGAAGGTGTTTGGATTCCTGAAGGAATGCTTCCTCCGCTGGCTTGAGAGCTTGTCTCTTATAGGGCAACTTTCCAGTGGGCTGTTCTCGATAAGAAAGATTCTGCATGCCGCTCAGGTATGTTGTCAATGCCGTATTATTGTCAGGTTACTAATCCAGCAAGTCACAACCGGAGATCAACCCTTACCTTCTTGAGCTGTTGAGAGACGCAGAGAAGTTTGTATTTAGTCACAGACCAATCATAGAACGGGCCCCCTTACAGACATACGGCTCCGCGCTCGTATTCAGCCCAACTTTGAGCGAGATTAGAAATCGGTATTGGAAGGAAAGGTTGTCTGTTATCGAAATGGCCGCTGGCATTAGAGACCACTGGGGCGCGCACCGGCAGACGCTCGAGGGGCATGGCGACTGGGTCAGCGCAGTGGCGTTCTCGCCGGACGGCAACACGCTTGCATCGACTTCGGACGATAAGACGATCCGGCTCTGGGATACGGCGACCGGCGCGCACCGGCAGACGCTCGAGGGGCATGGCCACTGGGTTAGGGCAGTGGCGTTCTCGCCGGACGGCAACACGCTTGCGTCGGCTTCGGACGATAAGACGATCCGGCTCTGGGATACGGCGACCGGCGCGCACCGGCAGACGCTCGAGGGGCATGGCGACTCGGTCAGGGCAGTGGCGTTCTCGCCGGACAGCAACACGCTTGCGTCGGCTTCGCGCGATAAGACGATCCGGCTCTGGGATACGGCGACCGGTGCGCACCGGCAGACGCTCGAGGGGCATGGCCACTGGGTCAGCGCAGTGGCGTTCTCGCCGGACGGCAACACGCTTGCGTCGGCTTCGGACGATACGACGATCCGGCTCTGGGATACGGCGACCGGCGCGCACCGGCAGACGCTCGAGGGGCATGGCGACTCGGTCAGGGCAGTGGCGTTCTCGCCGGACAGCAACACGCTTGCGTCGGCTTCGGACGATAAGACGATCCGGCTCTGGGATACGGCGACCGGTGCGCACCGGCAGACGCTCGAGGGGCATGGCCACTGGGTCAGCGCAGTGGCGTTCTCGCCGGACGGCAACACGCTTGCGTCGGCTTCGGACGATACGACGATCCGGCTCTGGGATACGGCGACCGGCGCGCACCGGCAGACGCTCGAGGGGCATGGCGACTCGGTCAGGGCAGTGGCGTTCTCGCCGGACGGCAACACGCTTGCGTCGGCTTCGGACGATAAGACGATCCGGCTCTGGGATACGGCGACCGGCGCGCACCGGCAGACGCTCGAGGGGCATGGCCACTGGGTTAGGGCAGTGGCGTTCTCGCCGGACGGCAACACGCTTGCGTCGGCTTCGGACGATACGACGATCCGGCTCTGGGATACGGCGACCGGCGCGCACCGGCAGACGCTCGAGGGGCATGGCGACTGGGTCAACGCAGTGGCGTTCTCGCCGGACGGCAACACGCTTGCGTCGGCTTCGCGCGATAAGACGATCCGGCTCTGGGATACGGCGACCAGTGCGCACCGGCAGACGCTCGAGGGGCATGGCCACTGGGTTAGGGCAGTGGCGTTCTCGCCGGACGGCAACACGCTTGCGTCGGCTTCGCGCGATAAGACGATCCGGCTCTGGGATACGGCGACCAGCGCGCACCGGCAGACGCTCGAGGGGCATGGCGACTGGGTTAGCGCAGTGGCGTTCTCGCCGGACGGCAACACGCTTGCGTCGGCTTCGGACGATACGACGATCCGGCTCTGGGATACGGCGACCGGTGCGCACCGGCAGACGCTCGAGGGGCATGGCGACTGGGTTAGGGCAGTGGCGTTCTCGCCGGACGGCAACACGCTTGCGTCGGCTTCGGACGATACGACGATCCGGCTCTGGGATACGGCGACCGGTGCGCACCGGCAGACGCTCGAGGGGCATGGCGACTGGGTCAGCGCAGTGGCGTTCTCGCCGGACGGCAAATGTCTCGAGACAAACCGAGGGCTGCTGAGCATAACCGTAAATTCAGAAGCTTTAAGCAGCTCTGGAGGCCAGAAACCCGCCAGTGGTTTTCTCTTCGTCGACGACGATTGGGTTACAATAGATGGGAAGCATGTTCTTTGGCTTCCCGCTGACTATCGGGCAACATGTGTGGCGGTTCATGGTCATACACTCATCCTAGGGCACAGCTCTGGCCGAGTAACGTTCTTTCGGTTTGCTTTTGCAGAGTAATGGATTTTCTACAATCGCTGTAATGCTTCATATATTTCATTATCTCTGTTTAAGTGAAGGGCCTGGGAGCCGTCTTTGCTTTATATGATTTACTTCTCGCCCCTGACGCAATTCTTATTGACACGACTTGCCACTATCTGAGGTTTTGCCGCCGGTCCTCGGCCTCGATAAGAGACGGAATATCCATCCTCCAGTTGTAAAGTAGTTGCAGCAACACAAGATATATTCAGCCAGGAGAGAGAGGTGTAGATTTGGTAAAGGGCGCGACGAAGCGGAATAAAGCGACAAGATCATCCAAGATGATCTTGAGTAGAGGTTCACGCCTTATAAAAACACCAAGCCAACGCCGGAAGAAAGTCATTACGCAGCTGCAAAATCCCCGACCGTATCTACAGTAACCGAGCTATAAAGGCGCTCACACTTGTCAAGCGCCTGTGTCCGGCACGTGCTCGTTAAGGTTCCTGATACCGGAAAGCGTTTATGTACAATTAGATAAGACTTAATAACTAGATGGATGGATTTTATTTCGCCCGGAGGCACTGGGCCTATAGGGCCTTAGCACGCTAACTACATCCGGATCAAATCGGTTTGCCTTTAACTCGTACAAGCCCCCTACTTCTTCCCTCTTTCTCGCTGCACCATTTACCTCTTGCTTAATAACTAGTTAAGTGGTGGCGCAGGCATCTGACCAGGGCTTGGCAGCCCCAGTCAGCTGACCTGTGATTGGGCAATGCGCCCGCAAGGCGGCTGCAACAATGCAGCCGCGCCTCGGGCTGGGACACCCCGCCCGGCATCTTCCACACTTCACTGAATACACCGTTGATATCTACACTTTTGTATGCTTTCCGCATCAGTTCCTATGTCTCGTCCAACTTCTCCGCAGGCCGGGTAAGGAAGCGCGGAAGGCATCAAGGCCGTTCCCGATAGGATTATTTTTGATGACCCTGGATCGCGGTTGGTCCGCCATGTCAGTTGTTGGAAAGTAGACCAGGAGGTCTGAGCACAGGAGGGTCAATGGGTCAAGACCCAGAACGCGGTGGCAAGAGATCGGTCGGCTCAGGCCGGAGAGATCACTCAGCTTAGGCCAGGTGCGGTTGCATGCGGTGCCACCATCGCCACTCAGAGAGACATATCACTGAGTTTGGAACCCCCCTACAGCAGGAAGGGGGGTGAGAAGAGAGAGACAATGAAGATTGAACTTTGGGAGAACCTCATAGCCTCCGAGGCTCAGCAGTGTGAATCCCCATTCGTGTGTGTGTGTGTGACACCTTGGGTCAGTGGCTGTTGGTCTTCCAACAGCTTCATAACGGATCATGGAGAGGGTCCACGAGCGATAAACGACTGGCTCACCGGTAACAAGCGGTTGCAGGCCGGCTTACTAAAAGAGATGGCTCGCAGGGAAAGCCCCGCACACAAGCCACACCCACAGGACACCACTTTGGGGTCCAGCTCTACAGCCCTAACCCTGGATATAGAACGGGCTGTGCCCGTGACAATTGCGGAAGGGCCATATACAGTACCATACCCGCCTTGACCTCCCTCAGAAGTAAGCGGCGTGTGGTGATTCATCATGGCACGGGCGTGCGCCTGACCACCCCGGACGAGTAGGGTCACGTGTGGCATCAAGCTCTCATGACGACTGGGGAATCCTTGGTGTTGTATGTATTTTTGCTGCGTTCTTCAGGGTACCAAAGCCCACTTTCATAAACGACTCTCTCTCATTCAGCTATCACATACGACCATATCCACGAGAAAGCACGGGATCCCGTCCGCTCTCCCCGAGTTAACCTCGTGAGAGCCGAATCAGTAGTTGGGCCGGTGACGGCCAGCGAATCCCCGGTGTTGTATGTTGTTGGCCTTTTTGGCTGCTCGTTTCCTTTACCTATTTTTCCAAAGACGGCCAAACTATCCACGGGGAAGGAGGGACATTGTGAGACGGCGTATATTTGCTCTGTGCTCCTGCGGTGCTGTATTAAAGAAAGAAAATAGGCTGTGTCCTTTATTTTCCCTTTGCTGGAAACCCACTCAGAGGTGGAGTTCCGTCTTGGTTGGCTCTTTTTTTAACACGCTCCATAAGGTACCTTACCTATGTATCTTACCAATGCCCTGGGTTAGATTACTTTGCGACTCTTAGCCTCGTGGGTTTAACCCAAAGTTGAGTTCTGCTGAACCAAACTAGAGAAACCTGAAGATCGTGAGGTTGAACACTGCATGGTGAGCGACTGGTCTACGTTTATAGATCAACTTAGTCGTTCTGGGCCACAATATAAAGCTGTAGACCACCAGGTGCAGGCCAATACAATAACCGGCTTCAAAGATGGCTTGGCTCCAACGGACTGTCGCCAGCTAACCAAGTCTGTTGAGTAGGTAATTAGGATGTGAATCAGTTGTTTAGGTACCTACTTTCGAGCTCGTCTTTCGCAACCCTACCCGCCACCAACACCCCTGGTTTCGCCGAGACATTCAAAAGTGATAGCTACCAAAACAATCAAGAGTTTCAAAGTGCTCTAGAACGATTTACTATATACTGGGTAATTACCTATACTCGGTATGGTTTGTGCCGGGGCACCCAGAGCCCCTTGGTGCTTCTCCCTCCGCTCTTTTTTGTTCCCGTAGAGCGCTCATCTATATCTTGTTATTAATGCTTAATTATTAGTTCGGGTCGCCAGCTTCCTACTGTGGCTCTGTTCTCGTTGGCTGATTGTGGCAACCTAGTTACCTAGTATCCATATGTGGCCATCGAGCCGCCGCGCCGCCTGCGCCTCTCACACGGGTTATCAGGGAGCGACAAGCTCGCTCCACATAAGCCAAACCAATAAGCCAACATTCATGATAACAGGTAGGTAGGATTGTTCATCAAATCCCATACACAGGTAGGAGCAGACTAGCAGTCGCAGAATTGATCCAAGGTAAGATTCTAGGACCATCCAACGGGTCAACATAGCAGGACATAAAGTGGCCCATGGCAAAGAGCTGATTTTTACAGACTTATAAAATCCCTTCTAGTATCACCCTTTAGGATACCACCTTCTCTCATCCCAACCTACTAAATCCCACATCCTCTTATCGTACGTACCTACTGGAGGGCGGTCGGCGCTTGTTAGTGACTCATCACTCCCTACCACTCATATCAGTGTGGTCACCACTCTCCCTAATCTGCTGGTCAGATTTATTGATATTATTCATATATCACTATCAAAATCATATTCCTACAGGTAGGCGGCCTACCTGGTAGGCAGCCTCCCCTTGGTTTTCTTCATAGGTCTTACCTCCCACGCCTTCCACTACCTTTATCCCAAGTTCTCATATAAATTCCGCGCTACCTATCATTCCTTAGCATGTCTTCCCGTACTACCGCAAACGGCCAGCTGCCCTCCGGCGTGTCCGCGAACAGCTCTACGGGTAGAGTAAGTCTGACTCCCCATCCCATGTTTATAGACCAATCTGCTGAGTTGATCTCCAGCCACAAACTGCACAGGGAGCCCAACCACAATCAACCGCACGGCAACCAACCCTGATGCAGACAGGAACAAGCGGCCGCCCAGCTCCTGACCCCACGACGTCATCATCCACCTCCGCTTCTCAAGGCCCCTCGAACGCAGATAACAGGTCAACAGCCTCGGCGGCCGCCACAGAAGCCAGGCCTCCCAGCAGACCCAGCACGGCAAGCACCGCGAGCACTATGGTCCGGCACAGCTCCTTCATGCCCAAAGAACGTGCAGCCAAGCTCAGCGGAGAGGGGGAGAACAGGGCACGTCAGGCAGCTATTTTTCAGGACGCATTGAACAAGTACAAAGGGTCGATTGATGCAGAAGCTAAGGCCAAAGCGGCCTACGCGGCTCACGGGAAGCGTGTAGAGAACGACCCTTGTATGATGGGCCGAGATTGGCACAGCGCGGGGCTCGAGGCCGCTGAGCTCGCGAATACATGGGAAAAGGCCGCAAATAGGTATGTGTCCTGTCTCTTATCCGGTCATCGTGTCCTTTGTCCGCGTTTGATGTTTTTATATGAGATGGCGGGGTCACGTACACACTCCTTATCGCAAAATGAAAACGGCTAACATGGCACATCCAGTGCTCGTTTTCTACATGAGGCACTCAGACGCGCGACTGAATAGGGAGGAGAGCCAGAGTTGCTCAGACAACACTGTATTAGACGTTAGCGGTAATAGAGCGGTATGAGCAAACGATGAAGACTCACTAGTTGAGATGCGAGCCAAGGGAGCAGAGTTGCTCAATTCCTGTTGAATCATCGCTCATTATACCACCTATTTTAGATAATACAACCATACGTGGCTTTTACTCTGTCTCACGGTCGACCAAGGCCCTGACCACCAACAATAAATCCGACTACACTGGGCACACTGAATTGCTTGAATGCTTAATAGTAGCGGAGATTTTTCATTGGCACCCAAATTTCAGTCCTCATATCCACTATCTTAGACAATTGCTTCTCCCTAATAGGTATGTGGCTAACATTCATTTTACAGGTGGTCTAATTAGAGGTTTATAACCAAGGCGGTTTTCACTGGTGGAAGTGAATATTCAGTTTGGTACCTATTTAAATTTCAATTGCAATCTTCTTTATTACGACATAGATGATTCGCTCCTAATCCCTCCCGTGCTAGCGGCTGTGGACTTTAGATGTTTGGTAGTTGGCTGTGGTAGTAACTGAATGATACGACGATAACCCAAGGCCGTTTTCTTAAACCTGATGAAGTTGTCCTCATTTACTAAGGACCTCCTCCAAGTAGTCAAGAGATCGTCCTCAAGTCGCCGAGGTCCGGTAGCCTTCGATGAGCCGGGCTGTGAGCGTACTAACATAAGTGACTTGTATCCCCAAAGGTTAGCAACATTCGTTGCTCCACTTCTGATGGATTTAACGCTTCGAGCGAGTCCAGCTGCCTAATTCTAGCTTGCGATAATTGAGCCAAACGGGCGCCTTCAGTCGCGAATTTATCCTTAGAGCTATCCGACTCGACCTTACGCCTAGCGGATGTGGCCTTGAGCAATAGATCTCTAAGGTTGTGCATCTTGTCGATAATCTCGCCGAACTGGGCGAGGGTGGTGGAGTCGCTTTCAGTGTGTTTGTCCTGAGCAATGCCCGCTGCGACAGGGCCATTCTGGGTGGTAGGAGTTTGATGTAGGTGTGGCCATGATAGCGATTTGTTGGTTTGTTGTCTTGTTGTGCAGTATGCTTTGTACCTTTTCAATGCTGTAATAGTTAACTGTTCAGGGGGATACTGGGCGGTTTATATAAGTGCTATAAGGTCGCATTTTACAACGCTGTGACGTGTGGCTTGGCTGAGACAAAGCCTCACTTGTTTACCTGACTTCATTCTTCAGTAGTTGCTGTTTGCCTGTTTTCCTTGGTGAGGAAATAAAGAAATACATTCCAACAAAACCGTCGTGATTCCAGTCCCATTAGCCGCAAGTTACGGAAAAATAAAACACATAGTTAGCGGCCTTGACTAGACCAAAATAGGCCCTGTGCAAACAGAAGAGGCAACTGAAAGAAATTAACCCTGGCAGCAAGAGGATGTTTGACAACGATTCGTCAGCCTGAGAGGGAGCTGAGGAGCGCGAGGATGTGCAGAAATAACTAGGTACCTACCTAGGTACCTACCCAGTATCCGGGCTGTCCTCAACCCCGCCGTGTCGTAAATGTTACATTTCTAGCTCAGTCTACTTCCGTACATTCACAGTATTGATTGATATTACTAGGGGAGGGGTAACACACGAAATTGCAATACCCAGGACAGAAACCATGATGTTAGATGTACTAGTAATGTGAATAGATAGCTAGGTATTCGTAGATGTATTCTGGGAAAAACGTTCATAAATCCAAGCAGCCACGGTGCCCTAGCTCTCAGGAAGAAGCCTTCAAAAATCCCAACCGAGCTACCTAAGTCAAAAGGCCCCCTTTTGGTCCCCTCCCCCCGCCCCAGAGAATGAGCCCAACCAAGGGCGACCCTCAATAACTGTTACAAGGGCTGGAATTCCAGGGCTTGAACAATCAGCTGCCGGGGGAACCGGCAAAACCAAGTGTATTAATAAGAATAATCTTCAATGGCCTCGAGAAGTCCATGAAGAGAGAAAGAGAAGTTCTGGAGCTATCTGACATTCTGAGTCTTCTTATACATGAAGGGTTTCGGTGAGAAGGTGAGAAGGTGAAGGAGGGCGTCTGACGAGGACACCAATGAAAATTAGTGAGACTGGCCCGATGAGTGGCCATTGATTTCTGAAAATGATTGGTGATGGTTGAGTCCACGTAGTGATCCGTGTGACATGATGGTTGAGTCCACGTGGTGATCCGTGTGACAATAACCGGAAAAGAAAAACTAACAATCACGTACAGTAGCCTTCCAGGGACTGTAAAGGCTCCCCAGGGCACTAGAAGGCCGTTTAGCCGAGTGTGTTTACAATCAGGGGGCTATTGACCTTCCTCCTACGCCCTACCAGCAACAACATGGAGCCCCTTGGAGCCCCAACCATCCCGGAGTCCTCACGGGCCGTAACCAACCGACGGCCATTCACACGCGGCCGGGCCGCCCAGAAACCGCGGAACGACTGACTGAGTGAGAAACGTAGCGCTCGCGCGGCGCCGCCCGCCCGGACTTGCGTCTGGGTATGCGCTGTGGCGCTTTGCGCACCCACGCCCGCGTGCGTTAACCGATATCCACAACCTGGGCCTTGCGTCGTGCCGTGCCGCGCCGCTATACGCATCTCCACCGGCCAACCAACCACCCCCACGCCGTCGCTGTCCAGCTTGGAGCGCCTGCGCGGCCGGCTTGCGTGGCCTGGGTGATACTGGTGAGGTGTCGCCGGTGATGAGCGAGAGGGGGAGGAGAGGGGGCTTTGGGATGTCCTGTAGGGGCGAGTTGGGAGGTCGTTTGATTGATGTTTGCTGAGACTGGGTGGGGAGATGCTTTTGGTGGTAGCCTATGCGTGAGTTTCAGTTGGGAGATACCTACGATGATTAGGTACCTAGGTAGTTGGTGGGCCATGAAGAACGGGTTGGAGATGGGATATTCGATAACATTTCTTGCTCGGGTACCTCCATGTAGGTAGTTACTAGGAACTGATGAAAGACAATGTATTTAGAGAGGTACCTGACCTACCCAGTCTGGAAGAAAACAAAAAGCCAAGGCGCAAAGAACAAGTGAAGGAAAGAAAACAAAAAAAGAAAGAAAACAAAAAAGAAAGAAAACGAGAAAAAGAAAACAAGAAAATGAAACTGAGGAAAAGAGCTGGAATAAAAGAAATCGGGTGAGGAATGGACGAGGTACGGCCACTGGATACAACCCCTTGTGCCTGCCGTGTCGAATCGCTTTCATGCACCCCAATTCTGCCTCCAATCAAGGATGCCTCTCTGGCACCCAAGCCTCAACTGCCGCCGTCGATCCAACCTAAGCCCCGCCGCGACCATTTGCTTCAACATCGGTGGTATTCGACGCAATATTTCCGGCAGCCTTGACCCGAGAGTCTCGTGTTACACGTGGCGCCACTGGCCTGCTCGGCTGCCTCCTTTGGGGAGTCAGCTGCTTGTGCATAACAAGCCTCGACTCTCGTGAACTTGGATACCTCCTCCTTTTGCTTCACGTTCTAAGCTATGACGCTCCTCTGACATCCCCAATTCCGTCCGAGCGACTTCCACGATTGCCGCTGATGCGAATGTCCTGTCATGGCCCAGAAACGGACGTACCAGGGCGAAAAAGAACCGCCTGCGAGCCTTGTAAAGCGGCCAAGAACTTTCGGCACCCTTTCTAATGGCGACATCTACGAAGAATACACGATCGCCTGGATATGCGCGCTTCCGTTGGAATTGGCGGTATCGCGTGCCATGCTGGACGAGGAGCACCCACTGCCACCCAACCAACCCGGCGACGACAACACCTACGTGCTCGGTCGCATCGACCAGCACAACGTTGTCATGACATGTCTACCGGGGCAGTACGGGACAAACAACGCTGCAATCGTCGCCACAAACCTGAAGCGAAGTTTCCCCAACATCCTCGCCACCCTGATGGTCGGCGTAGGCGGAGGTTGCCCAAGCCAGGCCAACCTGTACCTAGGCGACGTTGTCGTTGACACCAGGGTCATGCAGTATGATATGGGAAAGCGCTTGCAGGCGATTCTTTTCTAGAAACGGCCGATGCGAAGACGCCTGCGCGGCTGCTGAACTCGGCTGTGTCCGCTTTACGGTCGAAGCACGGGTCGGACCGTTCTAGCGGTCGAATGACAAGCCTCCTGCGAACCCGGCTCCCAAACACCTTGCGTCCGGATAACCCCGATCGCCTTTTTAAAGCGTCTTATGAGCACCCTCCCGGGGCGCCAACTTGTACTGACTGCGACCAAGAGATGTTGCAGCCACGAGGCGCACGCCTCTCCGACGGACCTAGTATCCATTACGGAGTCATCGCTTCAGGAAACAGGGTCATGAAGGACGGGAAACAACGGGATGAGATTTCCCAGCGACTCGGGGCATTTTGTTTTGAGATGGAGGCAGCCGGCATGATGGACAATCTCCAGTGCTTGCCGATCCGCGGTATTTGCGACTACTCAGATTCTGTCACGAATATGCCAACCGGTGGGACCCCGGGTCACGGCACGCCCGGAGCCAATCATATGAAGACCAATCAGGGAGCCAGGAAGGCGATCAAGAAGATCAGTGAGCTCAGTTGCCAAGAGCAGACTGAGCAGACTGAGCACCAGGAACGACCGCTTATCAGGATGACAATAATCCGGAAGAAGATCAGTGAGCTCAGTTGCCAAGAGCAGACCGAGCACACTGAGCACCCAGCAAATAGATAGTATATAGTCACTCGTTTTGGAGAGCTCTGGGAGTTCTCCAGTTAGCAATCACAACTACAGCCCGCTACAAGCTCGAGAGCCTACTGTTGAGACAAGTCTTTGTTGTGCACCCTTTGGCTGCACCGAACCTAAGCACCCTTTGCAAGATTACCTTCGACCGAAGCTGAACCCTAACAGGACAGGGTCCTGAAGTAGGTTCGTCACAGATTCCCACAAGAACAACGAGTGGCAGGAGTATTCTGCCGCAACTGCGGCTGCATACGCGAGGGAACTGCTGGAGGGACTTCCGTCTTTACCCAGGACACCCGGCCGGGCTCCCACGTACATCACGGATGTGTGCCAGCCTGATATCACCGGTAGTAAGACCATCGTTCTAGCCCTTCTTCTTCTGCGGTATCACGCTAACTGAAGATGCGAGCAGCCGAACATGCTTTGCAACGGCGACAACGCTTACTAAAATGCCTTGAATACTCGCAAATCGATGCCCGTAGAACCAATATTCGGGCTGCACGTGCCAGGACCTGCCGCTGGCTTCTACGTCACTCTGTTTACCAGGACTGGCTTGATCCCGGGAAACAACCGCAGAATTATGGTTTCTTGTGGATGCGAGGCAAAGCAGGCGCGGGAAAGTCGACCATGATGAAGTTCATGTACCTGGAAACGAAAAAGGTCAAGAATCGCAGCATGGCCGTGGTGTCCTTCTTTTTCAACGCCCGGGGCGATTATTTGGAAAGATCCATCTCCGGGATGTATCGGTCACTGTTACTGCAACTCTTGCAGGAGTTCCCGGACCTACAATCCGTCCTGGACAACACGGACGTCATTCCGCGGAACCAACAAGATTGCCCAGACTTGAATGTTCTGAAGGAGCTTCTCAACAACGCTGTTATGGCTCTTGGCCAGAACTGCTTTACCTGCTTTGTCGACGCCCTCGACGAGTGTGACGAACTGAGTCGGGGCCGTGACATGGACTTGGTCGTTCGAGGCACAAGATGCCAATGCTCACCGATGAAGGCCTTCGGTTTCGGATCTGTTTCTCGAGCCGGCCATACCCGTACATTGATACCCACCGGGGAACCTTGTTCAGGCGCGAGATGAAATCAGGACACGGAGCGGCCTTGGCACAGTACGTCAAGAGCCGTCTAAAACTCACACACCGCCCGCTACTCGAAGAATTACAGTCTCATATCCTGGACAAAGCTGCTGGCGTTTTTATGTGGGTCGTGTTGGTAGTCGAAATCTTGAACAATGAGAGTAGCCACAGCGCCCTCGCTCTCAGGAAGAAGCTGTCAGAAATTCCGACCGAGCTAAGCAAGCTCTTCAGGAGTATGCTGGTACGCGATCAGCATAGACCCGAATCACTGCGGCTCTGCGTTCTCTGGATTCTCTTCGCGAAGCGGCCTCTGAGTCCAGCAGAGTTCCGCCATGCGCTGTGGGCAGGCTTATTGGAGCAGAGTCTGGTCGATCCCGAGCTTGCAGATGACACACACATGGATGCCATCAAACTGGTTGCGAGTTCCTCGAAGGGGCTTGCTGAGATTACGAAATCCAACCAGCCGACCGTGCAGTTCATTCACGAATCGGTACGGGACTTTTTGGCGAAAGAGAAGGGCATCCGGGACTTGTGGCCTGAACTCCGATTCGACTGGGAAGCTCCGAGCCACGAGATCCTCAAACGTTGCTGCACCACGTACCTGTATCATCCAAGAGTACAGGCCATCGTCGTCACGCCAGAGATCGAAGGCGAGGAAAGGAACGCCATGGTCAAAAGCTGCTCGTTCTTGGAGTATTCCGGTCAGCAGGTCCTCTACCACGCCGATTCTGCAGCACCTGTGGTTCCTCAAGAAAGTTTTTTAACCCAATTCTTTGCCTCCGATGGAGTCAGGGTGATCAATCACCTCGAGAAGTTCAAAAGTCGGCGGTATAGCCCCAATGTCACTCCGCTCTACGTTCTGGCAGACAAAGGACTCGGAAACCTCATTCGCACACTGATGGAACGAGGGCCGACCGCCGGCGTTTGCGAGGGACGCTACAAGATCCTCTTTTTGCTGCAATAGCAAACAACCATAAAAGCGCCACAGCCGCACTTTTGTGCTTGCCATCAACGGTTTGCAGTGGCGTCGATATTACTGAGGGCTTGAAATACAAGAAGGATCTGGGAGACTACCAAGGTCGGACACCACTATCCTGGGCTGCCCAGGAGGGTAGACTAAGGATTGTGGAGTTGTTAATTCAAGGAGGGGCAGGCATTAATGGAATCGACGGGGGGGGGGGTACACACCTCTTCGCCGGGCTGTAGAGAATCGCCACCAGGCGGGCGCGTCTTTACTCATCGATAAAGGAGCAGATATCGGAGCCCGGAGCACATTTGGATCGATGTTACTGTTTTCGGCACTTCAGGATAGCCACGAGGAGCTCGCGCGACTTCTGATCGAGAAAGGAGCATATATTGACGTGGAATCAACACCACTGATCATGGCGTCTAAGAAAGGCTACAAGGCGGTTGCACAGCTTCTGACCGATAAAGGTGTGTATATCAATGCTCGGGCTCTAGATCACCACAGCTCGACAGCGCTATGTTGCGCCTCTGAAAACGGCCACGAAGCGGTTGTACAGCTTCTCATCGATAAGGGGGCTGATATAGAGGCTCGAGACATTACTGGAGCAACTGCACTACTTTGGGCCTCGCAGCTTTGCCGCGAGACGGTTGTACGACTTCTAATTGACAAGGGGGCTGAGATAGAGGCTTGAGACAACACTGGAACAACTGTACTGCGTTGGGCCTTGCGGTATAGCCGCGAGATAGTTGTACAGCTTCTGGTCGATAAGGGGGCTGATATAGAGGCTCGGGATAATGCTGGAATGACTGCACTACTTTGGGCCTCGCGGTATAGCCGCAAGATGGTTATACAGCTTCTGATCGATAAGGGGGCCGATATGGACGCTCGAGATAATACTGGAGCAACTGCACTGTTTTGGGCCTCGCGGAATGGCCACGCGGCAGTTGTACAGCTTCTCATCGATAAAGGGGCGGATCTGGAGGCTCGAGATAATACTGGATTAACCGCATTGTATTGGGCTTCGCAGACTGGTCACGAGGCGGTCGCACAACGGCTCTTCATGAAACAGGGGGGCAGAGTCAACCCTTGAACAATTTCAGAATCATCGTTCTTTTGGTCAATCCTCTGCCATCTGTGAAGTGCCTAATGACTTATATATTTGTAGGCTGGTTTTGGAGTTGGGACGAAGCAACCAGGGGGAGGCCGGTGCTTGCCAACTGCTTTCAGAATCTCAACGCATATAGTCCACCTCCGTGTCCAGAGACACAGGTTTTGCAATGCTATGGGTCTTCGTGATACAAGTTAGCAGTCACTGACGACTAGCAGCTGGAGATATCTCAGTTGTCCAAGCCTTACAGCCCAATAATGCTCTGCAGACAGTAGGAGAGGTTGTGGTGGAGAGGTTGTGGCCGGCATGAAGGGCAGCGATGGTTGGAATGCGGACCAGAAAAAGGTGCACAAACCGATTTATCCAGCTGTCACTTGTTGCTTCAAGAACGAGAGATATCCAAGAACCAGGGCTTTTTGTTCCCCATCATCATGTTATGTTGCATTATCTCAACCAACTCACTCCACGCTTCGCCCGCCTCGATAGACGGCAGCGACGCCAAAAGATGCACCGTCCTTCTCCAGAGTCCAAAACCCGCGTGGTATCCATACCCGACAACCCCCCAACGCCCCTCTTAGACCCTTGATCCCTGACATCCTTGTTTCACTGAACCCCTTGCCCCTTGACATGACCCACTGACCCCCTACCCCTTACCCCCCACCCCCAGCCAAAACAGTCCCCTCTAAATAGGCGCATACTGATTCAGCAAATTCCACAAACTATCATCGCCAAAGTCCCCCCCAAACTGGCTATACGACGACGGCAGCATCGGCCCTCCCTCCGCCGGCGCCGGCGCACTCGACACCCCCCCCACAGCACCCAATCTCACATCTCCCCCCGCCCCCGGCGTCAAGCAAACACCATTCCCATTCCCATTCCCATTCCCATTCGCACTCGCATTAGCATCAACCTCGACGCCCCCGCCGCCACCGCTCCCCCCATGACCTCCAGCCTGTTGCTGCTGCTGCTGCTGATACTGCGGATGAAGTTGATGATGATGGGGATGATGGCCATGAAAATTCCACCCCATCTCCCCGCCGCCGCCGCCATCCGCGCCGGGTGCGGCCCTGCTCAGGTTGTGATAGACAAGGTCGCTGGTGGCGTAGATGGGTTGCAGGCTGGACCAGTCAAAGTCGCTGGGGGGGTTCCAGTCGAAGGGGCTGCCGGCGGCGATGGTGGGGGCGATGGGGAAGAGGTCCGGGTCTAGGCTAAAGGTAAACTCCGGGGTGGGATTGGAGGAGGCGGCTGACGGGAGCGTAGTGCTGCTGCTGCCGTTGTGATGGGAGAGGCCGTTGTTGAGTTGTGCGTGCTGGGATGGTGAGAAGCCGTCTCCGGCCCCGCCGGGAGTGGAGGTCGCGGCTGTGCTGAGGCTGGCTCTTGAGCCCATGGAGGGGGAGGGGTGGTAGCTTGTGGTGGTGCTGGGGCTCACGGATATGGAGGATCCGACGCTGCCGTTGTGGGTGGTTCCGTTCGGGTAGGCTGGGGAGGGTTCTGAGATGACCATCTTCTGCACGGCTTGACATGTCAGTCCTAGCGACCTCGTCATCCGCTGGCAGATGGCGTGGAGTACGCCAAGTGCCGCTTTGGCGAGCGGGTTGCGGGTTGCCATGGCCTCAAAGCGCTTGACGGCCCAGTGGAAGTGCTGGAGCGCTTTCTGCATCAGGTCGGGGTGTTCCTTAGGGAACAGGATGTAAATGGAGGCCATCATTACGATGGCGTCGAATGTGCCAAAGAAGAGGGAGAATCTGTAATAATTGTCAGCCAGCCGAGTAGGAAGAGAAGGGAACAAGGGAATTAACGCACGTCTTGTACATCTGCGGCTCGAGCGCCAGAAAGTGCAGCCTCTGCGCATGCAGCATATCCAGACTTGCTTTCAGCGCCTCAGTCCTACTCTTCGGCCGCGTAAATATGTACGGCCGATGCAACGCCATCAACTCAAAGGTCAACAACTGCGGCAGAACCACCCTTGCCAGCGGGAGCCAGTGGCACTCGGGCAAGGCATCGAACCGGGTGTCCGGATTCTCGAGGCGGAAGTAGGCCGGCGTCCTAGCATCGATCTCCAGCAGCTCGTTGTGCAGACGGTCGACGCGCGCAAAGTCCTTGGGGCAGGGCCCATCCTTCTCCAACTCGATGATCTCCTTGAGCGGGCGCAAGATATGGTGAGCCCAAAGCGCCCTGGTCACGGGGGTGGGCGGGTCATGTTCCCCCCTCGGCACGACGGGGGTCTTGGAACGGATCCTGGGCGTGGGCGCGTCGACGGGCAGTGAGGGGCCCGCCATGTTGAGGTCGACCGAGGTCGGGCGGCCGAGCACGCTGGCCATGTGCAGGTCCCACAGGATCAGCATCATCCACATCATCCTCCGGCGCTGCACCTGCCATTGGTTCTCCAACACGGCCTCGGCGTCGTCGCTCGCAGGCTTGGGGTCACGGCTGTCGCGGTGCAAGCCAATCTCCTGGGCGTCGCGAATGGCCGCACCAACGGCATGCCACTGTATCCATTATTAGCCGGGGATCCTCGACCCTGACGCATAACAAGAAAAAAAGGGTCAAGGTGACCTACCGACTCGGTAACCAAGCCCACATACTTCAACCAACTGGCCCTCATCCACCCCGCTACCACAGTATTCAACCCCATCCCCCTCTTCCCCAGCACCGCCAACACCTCCATGCCACAATCGCTATACTCCCTTGCCAAATCCTCAAACGTCATCCCGCCCGCATACTTCAACCCACCAAACCAATTCTCCCCCTCCTCCACGCCCTGCCCATGGCCCGCGCTCCGGTAGTGCTCATACCCGCCATCACCGCCCTCGGCCTCATCATCCAGCACCAACAGGCCCACGGCACAGACCTGGAACACGACGGCGGGGAAAGCGCGCATCTCGCAGTCGAGGGCGGCGGGCCCGGGCCCAGTGGCCAGCATGCTGAAGGGCAGGCGGTACCAGGCGGCCAGCTGCTCCTCGAACAGGGCGCGGTCCAGCACGGCGTAGTGCGGGTTGAACTCGGCGAAGTAGAGGCCCGCGAGCTTGTCGACGGCGCAGCGGGCGGGCAGCTGGCGCACGAGGGTCTTGTAGCGGTCGCGGGTGGTGGTGTCGATTGCTGGGTCTGCGGTGGTGGTGGCAGTGGGGGCTGGGGCGGTGAGTTGGGTGGTGAGGGGGTGGGGGTTGGTGCTGTCGTTGTTGTTGTTGTCGCCGTCGCGGGGGTCGCCGGGGTGGGATTCGATACGGTGCAGGAAGCCGAGAGTGCTGGCACTAGCGTGTGAGTAGCCAAAGGCGGCGGCTGTTGTGGCGGGGAGGGAGATGGCGTTGGGGTTAGGTTGGGTTGCTGGGGTGGATGATGCTTCATGGGGATTGTTTTTTGCGGCGTTTGCCAGCCTCCCATTCTGTTTACCGGTTGGTGCACCCGTCTCATAGCGACATGCGCTCTCCTTGTTGCGCGAGACACAGTTTGTGCAGGGGAGCTTGCGGTCACACTAGATGTGTGTCAGTCCAGATCTAAGCCGAATAACCAACTAGATGAGAGATGAGAGAATATGTGGTGAGATCACCTTTTGTTTCCGGCGATGACACTCGGTGCATGAGATGACTATCCTCCTCCTCTTCCGGGGTGGTGGTCGGGCTTGCTCCCTCGCAGCCGCCGGGGCGGCACCCGTCCAGTCCTCACCGGCACGGGGTGCCCCATCTTCGGGGCTTTCCGTGGCGGACATGGATGGGTGCAATGAGGTGTGGCGGGCGTTGTATGTGTGTGTGTCCCTGTGTGTGACCGCGTCCCCCGAGTATTGCGGAGCAGACAGACTAGACTAGCCACTTGGCAGATCGATCGCTACGTTCACTTGAATAGGTGACTAGGTAGTTATTCGTAGATGTCAAACTTTTTGAATCCTCGACACAAAAATAATGTGAAACAGCGCGTCGTGCGTAAGCCGATGGCAAGGCTCAAGCCGCAAAACTCAAATGATTCGGTCGCGTTCTCGGCACGCTGGACCCTGACCTGACTGCCGCTGCTGACTTGAGGTGATGTTGTGGTTAAAGATGGAAGGATTGGTCAGCCTCTTGATCCGCAAAAGGGTGGGGGGGAAGAAATGACAACGGTCCCTTGTCGCCAAGTCCTGTGGCGAACAATGCCATTTCCCCCCGCGCCTGTGGCCGTGCACGTACCATCGGAAACGTGGATGTACCGACACAATTGCCCTCTCACCCACCTTTTCCCGCTTATCGCCGGATCCAAAAATGCCATCGGGCCGCATTTGGTCCCGGTGAACGAGCCTGACGGGAGCCGGCTTCGGGTACGCGAAACGGGGATATGTCATGTCATGTAGTAGTAATAATGGTATGCGCCGAGGCACTGTGTCGCAAAGTCTTTGTGATTCCGTGCCTCGGAGGATTGGATGGTACGATGGACAGATCCATCTACAAGTCAATTGACTCAGGAACGCCCCCCGATCGCCGCCCTTGATTACCCTTCTCCCTGTTGTCGAAAAAAGAAAAGTAAAATAAAACACAAGCTCGCCGGAACATTTCTGGCGCACATCATTTTTAGACAGCCTGTTCTTCCCATGGATCGGTCCTCTCTGCTATTCTGGTGAATTCACGACGGGATATATCAAGTATGAAACTGAAATAGGGCTCTAGCTTCTCCTTCGCCCTCCTGCTCCTGCTGCTCCTTCACCCCACCTTCAACCCCCCCCCCCCCAATTACCCAAGACGCGCCAGGGACGCCTTCCACGCCTTCCTCCGATACCGCTCGGGCTCCGAGGGCGGGTCCCCCGCCGAGATGATGCCGCGGCCCACAATGACAATGTCGGTGCCACACACGCCAACCAGCTTGCTGGGGGTGTTGTACTGCTGGCCGAAGCCGTCGCTCTCGACCTGACCGTTCTCCTCCGCTGCTCGGCGGCGGGCAGCTTGCAGCCGGGGGTCATGTGGATCGAAGTTGTCGTCGGGCGCGGCGTTGAGGGCCTCCTGCGAGACGAAGCCCATGACGAAGCCCTTGTGGTCGCGGGCGGCCTCTACGCAGGCCTGCGTGTAGTCCTTGGTCATGAGGCAACCCTTTGACGACATCTGCGCGAGCAGCAACAGGCCGCGGTCGACGGGGGCCTCCTCGATGCCCGGGAAAACGGCGTCGTCGCCGTGCTCGTTGGTCTTGGGCAGCCGCGGCGAGTCGGCGGGCTCGAATGACTGCGTCACCGTCGTGATGGAGACAATACTGCCTTTCCGGCCGTCAACGTCTCTGCTGTCCCTCTTCTGGTGCTGCTCCATGGCCTCGAGCCTGCGGGGCTCACCTTTGTCATCTCGCGTCTGTGCCTGTTCTTGTCCTTGCGCCTGATGTTGTTGTTGCTGCTGCTGCTGCTGCTGCTGCTGCTGTTGCTGCTGCTCCTGCTCCTCCGCGTCGTCGAACTGGTCCGACAAGGGCGTGCCTACCGTGACCGACGTCTTGACCTCGTAGTGGATGCGCTCCTTCCACTTGGCCGCCGCCTCGGCCATGGCGCGCACCATGTCCTTGCCCGCGTCGATGTTTGCGTTGGTGATGTGCGCCCACTCTACTATGCGCGCCGTGCCCGCCGTGTACTGCATCTGGACCGTCTTGCCGATGTCGACAAACTTGCGGTCTTCGAAGATGAGAAAGCCATGCTTCCTCGCGAGCGCCGCCAGCTTGGCTCCCGTGCCGGTCTGCGGGTTGTAGTCCCATCCCGAGATCAGGTCGTAGTGCGTCTTGAGCACCACGATCGACGGACCGACCTTGTCGGCGAGCGTCAGGAGCTCGCGGGCCGTGGTCACGTCGGCGCTGAGGCACAGGTTCGAGGCCTTGAGGTCCATAAGCCGGAAGAGGTAGCGCGTGAGGGGGTGGCTAGCCGTCTTCGCCCGCTCGGCGAAGGGCTGTCCTAGAGTGGCATGACGAGTCGCCATCTTTTGTCCTTGTCCTTGGTAGGTCGTTGGTTCACAAAAAAAAAAATAGAAAAACGGGAGAGACGTGTGAGGAAAGGCCGGGAAGGACAAGGCGGTCGCGGCGGCGAGGAGGAGGAGGAAAGGCCCTGGCTAGTCGGTTTTATAGCGTCTGGCACTAGGACGAGTGTGGCGACCGGTATTTACCGGCAGCTTGGATGCGACCCACGGGGATGCAGGCGTGCCCAAGCGACGATTTGATGAGCTGGCGACTAGCGACGCCACGGGGGTAACGTCGAGTGTCGCTGCTAGGGTGTTGTGCCGGGATCGTCTTCCTCTCCCTTGCTCTCTTTCTTTATCCCGGGAGGTGTAATGACCGATTATGTACCGTATGTACGGTCGAGGCGTTTCACACGAATCGAATCGGGGAGAGGGCGATGCGCGCGGTCGCGGATGCTTAAATGTCTGTGGGTGTCGCTGTCAGCGAACGGCAAAAAACGCGTGGTCAAAAGGCGCAAGAGTAAGCTTTTACCTCTCCGAATCCGCGTGGGTGCAGCGGGTCCGGTGACTCCAGGACAATAGGATGGTGGGTTGCGAAGTTTGACAAGAACCCCGCAGACGGAGTTAACTACCACATGTACTACTGTGCTTGCTTGCGACTTTCAAAAAGGGAGTCGGAGTGACGCGCAAAAATTAACCAACCTAGTAGAGGTACCTCGGTGTCTAGGCCGTCTTCCGCTTAGGGTTTCGAGAAGAGATATGAGCTCCAAAAGGGAAGATCGCAGGTCAGGAGCACTCCTCTTATTTATATGAAAGAGGATCCTCATGTATTACGGCAAGAACCAGAGAGAGGCTGCCCCAGATCGTCCAAACCGCCGGGTCGAGGCCCATGGAGACTTGTTCAGACCCAAAAACCAGAGCTAGCAGCAACAGCGCAACGGCAGACGGATCTCATCCCAGCCAGTCGATGCAGCCTTGGCATGACCCGAATTGGACAATGGGACGATGCAATGCAGTCGGGGCTGAGACGAGCGGCAAAGCAACAGATAGGAAGGAGACGGGAAAAAAAGAAAAAGGGGACCGGATGCTTGTGTTCTCCGATGCGGTAGAGCATGTGCGTTGTCGACAGAAGGACGGTACGGCACCCTCCAATTGCAGCTCTGTGTGCACATGTCGAATTGGATTGCAGGCTGTGCCGCTTCCCCAGCCCTCCAGTCGGCGCACAACCGCCCGGCCGAACCCCTGCTCGTGCAGGGGCCTTTTTTGAGCCCTGGTCTTTCGTGGGGTGAGCGCACAGACCGATGATACTCAACGCGCTTTTGCATGGCCATCTCAGAGCTTCGTCCGAGCTTCGGAGTAGAATTGCTCGATGAGTGTGACCCCGGGACAGCTGGATACATACATCGTACCCGCTCCGGAATGATGCCGTCAATGCTGTCTCAGAAAAGCTCAATAACCAAGAATCGGTGCAACAGGAGATTGAAGCATCCGATCCGTCAAAAAGAAGGGGAGCGCACTGTTCCATTTGCGGCGGCTGATCGCCTTTTCCGGGGTCCACGATGCGGCTGCTGCAACGTCGTCTGTCTGTTGTGCTGGCAATCTGAGCAGCTCCCATAGTCGAAGGGGGGGAGGGTGGTTACATGCGGCGTGAGGCGGATGCAAAGAGCTCACTTCCAGCCCAGCCTCAGAGGTTCATCCGCCGTCGCCAGCACGCATGTATAGGTGGGTATATACCTAGGTACCTAAGGTATGTATATGGATGTACAAATATACATATACACCAGGTCAAATAGAAGTAGATATCATGTATTCGTACAAAGTGCTGGCCCTATTAGTACGCTTGCACCTCATCGCCGATCGAGAGCTTGTCGAGTGCTGCACTCTGATTTGCTTCGAAGCGGCCGGAGCGCAATCCGGGCGGGGCGCTGCTCAGAATGCCCCTCGGCCATACTTTCCTCAACAGAGGGCACAATGCAGCACGCTGCGCCATTGTCAGCAGCTGTAAGTCTGCAATTGGCACCTGCCGGTGCAACGAGAGCATCGAGTCCCGGACACAAAGATGATGAACCAACGGCCGGCATAGAGCGGTGGGCGTGATCGCCGCCAGGCAAATTCCTGCTTTTTCGAAGCGAAGGAGACGATCCGCTCGGTCAACCGCCAACATGACCATCGGGTGCCGTGGTTCCATTGAATCATCTTGGCCACCATCTCGCAGCTATCTCGAAGCAACACAACTGCCCCACCCAAATAGGTAACCAGCAAGGGGGGGAGAGAGCTTTCGAGGCGCGGTCCGAGATTCTAACACCGGCCAACGGCCCGCTCATAGGTGGCCTGACGGTTGCAGGCTGCAGGGTCGACATTTGAGAAGAACAGGTAGTTCAAGCGCACGGCAATAAATAGTCTGCAGCATCTGGTCCCGGTGAATGTTGGCAGTATCCAACCTCCCGCGCTGCGGCATTGGAATTCCGAATTTCTCTACTGTGTACTGCATACTTGTCGTGTGCGGATAGTTAACTCTACACTACAATCATGAAGGAAGATTGTCATTACAACGCCAAGCTGAGCGTGAGATTACGGAGGTTACAGGCAAAAGTTTTCAAAGTGGGTCAGGTACTGGCAAGGGTTATGGGCAGGGGCCAAGCAAGCCCCCGAAGTACCTCCTGTTGCCAAAGCGCGTCGCGCGCAGCAGTCAATTCAGAAAGGACTATGCATTCCGTTGGCATCAATAACTGCCTGCTGCCGTATAGGCATTGTATCTACACGCTCCCTAAGGAATTCCTCGGGGATTGCTTCCCACGCAGCGTATACCGCTTGACGTAGTTGATCGTATGACATCTTTGCTGGGTAGTTCTCTGCGATGTAATCTTTCATCCAGTTCCATGCGTTCTCGATGGGATTCAGATCAGGGCTATACGGGGGATGGCTGTACACCGGAATCCCGCGAGCCTCAAGCTCTTCGCGCGTGACCTGGGCAGTATGAGGAGAGGCATTGTCATGCATGAGGACCTGATCTGGGTGAAGACGGAACCACCCATCTATAAGAGGAACGACTCTTTCCGAATACTTCTCCCCAGTTATCGATCCCCAATCCTTCTCCCAGAAAAGACAGGGCCCTTTCCCATATTTTACTGAGTACGAACCCCAGAACATCCATCCTTTTGGCCGTTGTTCGCGCTCGACAATGCAGGTAGGATCATATGCCTCGTCTTGACGGCGTGTAACCCAGACCTTCCGGTGGGTACCAGCAGTAATCCAGGTCTCATCAGTCCAGAGGATTTGATGGTATCGCTCGAGGGGCCAGTATACGCGCTCGAGGGCGTTGTCTAGCCGGCGTTTTCGGTTCTTCTCGATAATTGGGGGCTTTCGATATGCCACGTAACGTTGAAAGCCGGCTTGACGGAGGGCGTAGCGGATCGCATACCCTGAACAGTCCCAGCCTAGAGCAGCAGGGATTTTGGAGTAGGGCATTCGGCGAGTAGCTTTCGAGGAAGTGATGAACGCAATCAAATCTTCAATCTGTTCTGGATTGAGAAGGCTGGGCCGACCAGAGCGTTTCTTTGGCGTGATGTTTGGGGCGCGGCAGGCATGTCCGACCTGGTTGTAGGTAAAGCCGAGTTGCGCGACGATTTGCTCGTATGTAAAACCACATTTGCGGAGAGTCTGAACTTGAAGCCGCTCATCGCGAGAGAGATCGGCGCTCTTAGAATGATGGCTCGGCGGCGTAGAGGGGAGCTCTGAAGACATCGCGAAGCTGGTGATGTTTGAATTGACTGCTGCGCGCGACGCGCTTTGGCAACAGGAGGTACTTCGGGGGCTTGCTTGGCCCCTGCCCATAACCCTTGCCAGTACCTGACCCACTTTGAAAACTTTTGCCTGTAACCTCCGTACATTGTAATGACGAGATTAGTTACCGCTCAGGGGCTCTCGCACTCTTATCAACATCCCTGTGGCCCGCTTATCTCTCGCTCAAGCTTTGAGTGGAACGCCAAAAATTCGGGCCAGAACAGAGCACCGTCATCGCCATGTCGCGTTTGTCCAACCAGACAGGGCCGTGCTGCTCGCAACCCGCTCGCAACCCTCCGTCTTGCCCGAGACTCCGAACAATCCATCTCTTCGCACCCGGCCCATCTTCAACGACGCTGCTCTACCGCGCTCATTCATCACGCCACTACTCCGCACTCATGAACGAGATTTGCAAAGTGCAATAAACCTTCCCTGTGCCGACCCACACGTCCAATTCGCATTTCCGCGCCATCCGGATCCCTCGGATTTCCAACTCTCATTGCCACCAGCCTCGTGCCGAGAACAATCGATATCAACCCAGCTGGGCGTAAGAGACAGTATTCCTTTGCATCTTTGGATGATTGCACAGTCGAGAAAATAAACAACAATGACCGGAGCGAAGAACCGACGCCAGGGCACAGCAGCCTCCCCCGAGCCCAAGGGGCAAGATAAGGAGGTTGCGCCGAGCTTAAATGGCAATGGGACCGCTCATGTTGCTGCCGCGAGGGGCACCGCCGAGGAGGGGCCACAGGAAAACATCTTTCTGCTATGGCCAAACATCATCGGTATGACTTGCGAAGCTGTCCCAGCTTGACCGGATGGGCCACGTACTGACAAGTGTCGCCCCGCAGGCTACTCGCGCATCGTCCTAGCTATCGCCTCGCTCTACTACATGCCCCTACACCCGCGCACCTGCTCGCTGCTGTACAGCATATCCTGCCTTCTCGACGCCCTCGATGGCTATGCGGCGCGCTACTTTGAACAATCGACGCGCTTCGGCGCCGTGCTCGACATGGTGACAGACCGGTGCACCACATCCTGCCTACTCGTCTTCCTGTCGTCGGCCTTCCCCCGCTGGGCCATCCTGTTCCAGAGCCTGATCTCGCTCGATTTTGCCAGCCATTACATCCACATGTACGCGACGCTGGCCATGGGCGGCACCGAGAACAGCCATAAGAACGTCGACAAGTCCCGCAGCCGCATCCTGTCGCTGTACTACACCAACAAGGTACATTCCTTTCCATCAACCCCGCCCCCCCCCCCTCCCCGCCCCCCTGCCCTACTTCGGTCATGGAACCCTCACTAACCCGCAATCTTCGCTCTCACAGACGGTCCTCTTCATCGCATGCGCACTCAACGAAGCCTTCTTCATCGCGCTCTACCTCCTGTCCTTCTCCTCCCCGCTCCTCTCCCCCTCCCTGCTCGAGACGGTTCCCGACCACGCGGCGCAGGCCATCATCAGCCAGGGGGCGCAGGTCAACTCGTCGCTGCTGCGGCACCTGTTCGCCAACCCGCACAGCGCGGGGGCGCTCGAGCTCGCGCGCGCCAACAAGATGGACAGCTTCTGGCCCTGGGTCCTCGCCGGCGTCAGCTTCCCCGTCATGGCCCTCAAGCAGATCATCAACGTCGTCCAGCTCGTCAAGGCCAGCCGCTGGCTCGCCGAGGGCGACGTCCGCTCCCGCCGCGCGCTAGGCCTGCCGAGGAAGCGGAAGACTGCTTGAGTGTATGTGTGTCTGTGGATGTGGCCTGTCTGTCCCGTTTCAGGAATGGCTGGGGTTGATTTTCTTGGTCTTGTCGGAGCTGGGTTACGGCAGGGTCGTGGTCTGGCCTTGGGCTTGTTACTTGCGGGGATGTGGGGTATGGTGTGGTGTATAGTGTGGGGGGGCATGTGTGTAAGGATAGGAAATTGGTGGCTTTTCTAATGCCAGACATGGGGAGAAGCTGGGGTGTCCTCCTGTACGGGTTTGAGAAGGGAGAGTGGTCTTGTGCGGGAGTGGGCATGGTTGGTTTGCTGGGCTGGGGGCGGCGAGGTAGGGGGCGGTTTTTGCATGGGCCTGTGCTGCGCTAGGTCTCTTCAGGCGTTTATCGGACGGGTTACTACTTACTACTTACTTCCTCAGACAGGCAGGGCGGGCAGGCGGGCGGTCAGGAAAGGCGGGCGAGGCGGACAGCATTAAAGGACGAAAGGACGGGCAGGCATATTGTCTGTAGTACGTATTTGAAGGGGAAGGGGTACGCGCGACTTTGTCTTTGGCTCGTCTACCAGGGTCTACTGAGCTATCTAATTCTGTCTTTTTCGACTTCCTTTTTATCTTGGTCATTTGTATTCGTATTTAGAATTTTGGGTTAGATCTTTATTGGCCTGATTGGACGCTCAGGCCTTGCTTAACCGTCCGTTTTTGCTAGGAGAGTCACGTTCACCGGGTGGTACTGTTACTGGTCCCCTTGTCGGTCATCATGGTACATACTAGGTATGCCGAGGTTAGGGATCTTCTTGGGTTATGAGCAGAAAGCCCGAAAATAAAATAAATATAGCCCGTTAAACGGCTGCAGGATGACTGCTAATTATGGCTAAATAGGCTGTATGGTGGATAGTCCTTCAACACACCTTGTCTCCGGCCCTCTCATCACCCCTAGATCAAAGGTAGACAAGAAACCCGATGCCAGGACGGTGCATGGGACAACATATATCCATGTTGACTACCTCGGGAGGTCACCCACGCTTAGTCCTGCAGTGGGCAAGGACTTGCCGCCCGGCCAGACGAGATAACCGACGCCCAAACCGAGGCAAAATCCCGTAAGAAAAGGGTATCTGAGGCAGATTTCAAAGTCGTCTTCGTCATAGCCGCGATGGTGGAATGAGCGAGTGAAGATACGCGGGCTAGCCTTGTATTGATCCCTCGCTACGTTGAATATACCCTTTCGGGGGAGCGCCTGACGACAAAGGTGACGGTAAACCATTCTGACGAGATGTTGATAGCAACTGAGGTCAATCTAGCAACCCAAACTAAACGGTGGGTCGGTTTTGATGGCTGTGATAGCTGATTTCTAATAGCTGAGGGCTGGTTGATATTTGAAGGCTGATTTGAACTGATATATGGTATTTGGGGGGAGGATCAATAGCATCATGAACATGATATGAACATGTCACTCAGCAGGAACATGTCCCGCATCATGTTCACCCTGGTCCTGATACTCCAAATCCAGTGCCACATTCAGGTTGTTCACCACACACCGACCCACTCACCGAGTATTGCAGTTCACACCATAATCTTGTGGGCAGAACAAGACTGGTGAACGCAAACAAATTAAATTCTTGTTTACAAGTAGCTAAGAATGCAACTATTATAAAGGCAGGTAATTCCATGGTGTCAAGGCGTCTGACTTCTAACACCACAACCACCACCTCCATCAACATCACACCCATATATATATATATGTATATCACCAACAGTAAGCACCCCGGTTTTATCAAACCGTCTTTTTGAGCAACAGCTTTTCACAATTGCTCTCTCTCACTCTTTCCACCACCACTTGTCAGAGCCAAACTGACAACACAGAAAGAACACAACAAAATGGCCAACACAATCTAAGGCCATCACAAAAGTCACACCAGAGCGTACGGTTACCCTTCTTTTCCCTCTGGCGCGTTTCTGTACTTGGTCTTTTCGCCGCTGACAATGAAATATTTAGGCGCTGCATACAACAGCGATAAACATTTTGACCACGTAGCCCGATTCGAAAGCGGCTTCGAAAGTGAAGACACGTCGCACAAGAACCGTCCGGCTTAACACACCACGAGTCGTTCATCGGCAAGAGGAATGAGGTGTGCATAGCATTTAAGACCGCGACGTGGGAACACAAGCCGGCTTGCTTGGTCTGCTATGGCACGCTAGGGACCAGGACCCGCTGGGTAGGACCGAAGCCGGGAAAGCCAAAAGCATGGATTACTTCCTCGGCCACGTCTAGGAGCTGCGCGGATTCAGGACAGCTTCCACACCATGATGAACCGGAGGGATGGCGACGAAGTGAACGAACTACCGCACATCAAAATCAGCTGCGCTTCAATTATGATCACGCAAGGCCATACACGACAGCCGTTAGTTCTAGGACTGACATTGGTGTGGGATCAATGCTACGGTTGTTACCTCCGTCGCGGCGCCCGTTGAACCACGCCAGGATAATCCCTCCTCTTGTGTTGAGGCAGAGGTACGCCTGCAGCGTGTCTATCTGGATGCTGTAACCAGGTCAAAAGGATCACCGTCACCATTGCTGGAACTTTGATCGCCGGCCTTGCCGCCTCGGCCGCTCCCCCCTCCGTCGCTGCCAACGAGGCAGCAAAGCGTGGGACTACCAAGTTTGTCGCGGCCGTCGTTAGCGCCAGTGCCTGCGTAGGGTTTTGCGTCCAGGCGACGCAGGCTCATCGCGGGGACAATACGGCGAAAGGCGAGGGTGCCACAATGGCGGCGGTCCGGGCCGCGATGGCTGCGAAGCGCGAAGGTGTCGCGGTAGCGAAACCCGACAGTACGTGTTTTGAATGACAATATTTCCCTGTGTCCCCCAACCCCAATTACAAACACTAACCTGTTCTGCCTGCCAAAGCCGAGAGCAAGTAAACATGGTTACGAAAGAGGCCGGCGGGGCGGCCCAGGTCGTCGTCCATTACCAAACCAGCAAATCTTCTCGCGGGTCAGCGCACCGAGAGGTTGCATCCGTCCACCTGTCCGAAGAAGTGGTCGGAAATCGGGGATGTGAGAGTTGGGGTTGGGAGGATGTCTGAAGGAACCTATTGATGAGACTGGTGGGAGGATATCCGAAGGAACTTATTGAGGGAGACTGGTGGGAGGATGTTTGAAGGAACCTATTGATGAGACTGGTGAGAGGATATCTGAAGGAACTCATTGAGGGAGACTGGTGGAAGTGCGGGGAGTGTTTACGGACATACCACGAAGGCCTTCAATCACCCGACGGCTAGTGAATAATCATACTTGACATTTCTTTTCCGCTTTTATAGTTTGCAACAGTCCCTACAGTATCGTGACCTTGCTACATGACGAGAAACAAAGGATCGATAGTAGTGGCTATCGACAATAAGCAGACCGTAGGTCATGACTTCGTTTCGTTGAAACAGACGCAACGCCCTTTTAAATGCATAACAATAAGAGTCACCGGCGAGGGCCAAAAGGGCTTCAGTGCTCAGCAACTTGTCATTAGGCCAGAGGTGTCCCTCAGCCTGTAACTTCAATGACCACTAGCGACCACGGCGACGATCCCGCCCGTGGCTCTCGAGTCTCCGCTGGCGCAAGACGCAAATAGACCCAACATGACGACTGAGACCACAATATCCTAATTCGGTCGCCATACCTAGGCCTCCGTGTCCAACAGTACCTTTTACATCTGCCCGCTGGCTCCCAAACAACCATGCCTCGCCCCGGCTCCCACAATCTGCCGCCGAAGCGAAGCTGCGTGTAGCCTTTCCAGCCCTGCCGTAAGCTGTCTCTAACACTGACCGACCAACCAAGCTTCTTAATCCCGGATCTCACCCTCCTTCGTTCCCCCCCACACACAGACTCTACACCCATCATTCAGCAACCTCCACCAACCCCCCAAGCCTAGCCCATCCGAGATAGGCCCGTTGCCTCGCGGATCGAACCTATGGCTTGTGTGCCTTGACCTTGGTTCCAGGCGGATGTTCCTCCTTGCCAAACTTGCAGAACGGGTGCGTGCACACCCCGCTCTGCACGCTCGGGCACTATCGATCGATTCGACCTGTGGTCAGCAACAGTAACAGGGATAGTAGCGGTAGGAGCGGTGGTGGTGGTGGTGGTGGTGGTAGCAACAGCAGCCATTCCCGTTGCCCCGGCTCAGCATCCCATCTGCTTCTGTTCGCCCCTTCTTGGTCTCGGGGAGAGGAGCGAGCGAGTGAGCGACAAAAACAAATGGGGACGGAGCAAAAGAGGACATGGAGCAAGAGAGAAAGGGTCACACAGAGCAAAGGTAAGAGACGGAACGAAAGCGAGAGGCGGAGTAAAGCAGAGAAACACCGAGAGCAAAAATGAAGAGCCAAAAGGATACTCAAAAACCAGAAGAAGAAAAAACAAAACTCACATGATGCCCATAAATACAATCCACCACCTCGCACTTCTGCCCATTAGAGCACGGGTTGAGGCGGGCCAAAAAGGCGATGGCGACCAGCTCGTTCGGGGTGGGCCTGTACTTGTGCTCAAAGGCGCAGGCGGTGCCCTTGGCGCAGGGTCCACGCAGATAGTGGTTGTTGCACAGCTTGCTCTGGTCGCGCCGCTTCTTGACCGCATCGAGCGCCGCCTGGGATACCTTGAGCGGGGTGTCGAGACCGCGAGGGCCGGGGTTCCTTTTGGAGAGGAGGGATTGGGTTAGTTTCACTTCGTTTGTGGATGGGGAAAAGGGTTGGAAGGAACAACAAGGTGGAAGTACATACCAAATCGTGGATTTCGCTGGTTGAGGACGAGTTGGGGACATGGGGGTCAGCTTTGGTTGTGTGGAGGAAATTGGCGGCGGAGGAGATGGATTCTTGACAGCGAGGGCGTAGGTGGTGGCAGTGACTTGGCCCGGCGTTGACGTAGCTGAGGTGGAGGGCGTTGGGATGCCAGTGCTGGTATCGCTCGTGGTCATAGTCTTGGCTCCGGCGGGGGATACTGGGCCGTAGTGTGGGAGGGCGACGGGGGTTACCGGGCTGCAAGGCACGAGGTCGGCATTGGGGACTGGCTTCTCAGACCGGAAGAGGCTGTCGTTCATATTCAAGATATTTACCCCCGTCGCGGCAACCTCGCGGACTGTGGGGATGCCCTCGAGGACTGTGACGCGAACACGGAGCGAGGGGTCCTGAAAGAGCTCGTCCAAAAAGGGGGCGTAACCGGCGTCATGGGATATGCCGAGGATAACCTGTTTGCAATTGCTATTCCGTAGATGCCATTTTGCAATTTCTGACAGTTCCGCATCAGCATCCACTCAAGTCTCGACTTCGCCTCGTCACCTCGTGGGGTGAGACCTACCCTTGATTTTGTTGCCTGCCCTATCCTTGCCATGCCCGACATCGATAAAGTCAAAACTTACCTTGGCCTGGGTAAAGCCTAACGTGAAGCTTTTGAGATCGTTTTCAGGACCCAGGCTGCCATCGTTGCGCATGGCCTTGCACAGGCCGGCAAGGTTAGCATACACTGTGGAAATCACCTCGATGCTGTTGGCATGGGCACCGCATTGCTCGAGGATGGCGGCTCGCAAGGTATATGCTGCCTTCTTGCCGCCCTCGACGCCTTGCTTGATGAAGGTCTCCTTAAACTGCGCATTGCACGTCAGCACAATACAGGTGTCTTAGGGGCCAGGGATCGTACAAGAAGACAGTCGCCGTCTAACAGTGCAATAACGTAGGGATTGCTATTCTGCCAGGAGAGTGAGCAGTCGCCGGCATCCCCAGCCAGTGGTGCTACCTTCAGGTAGTTGTGATCCTGCAGTACAGCGTCGCGGTAGACTTCGAGCTGCCGAACTTGCTGCTGTAATTCCCGTCGTGATCTGGTGGCGTCCTCGAGGCTAAGTTCGGTGTCTCGAATCCGGCTGACCAAGTTGGCATTCTCGACGCGGAGTTTTGACTCAATCGACTCAGAGTATACGATGAGATCCTGTGATGAAAAGATTAGACGACGGGTTCGGCTGCAAAAGCCGCAGGCGGGTCTCGCGCAACAGTACCTTGATGAGATGGTCATAAGAGTCTCGATGAGCAGAGAGGCTCTGGTACCGGCGGATAAACTCAGAAACGGCGTTATGAGCATTCATCACTGCCGTTGCTTGGGGCGCTCCCTGGCCGTCCCGGAACCCGTCCATACAAGGCGTGTGATCTGTAGTAGAGAATATCTCGCTTTCTTTTCTCACAGAGCCGTCACAAATAAGAAGCTGGGTCCGACCAAACGGCTGATCCTCTGATCAGATGTTGGGGTTGCAAGAAAAGAGATGCACTGGGCGGGATATGGTGAAGCTGGCCTTTGAACCCGAATCCACCCCCAGCAGAAATGAGAACAGGTCCTTGTCGCACGGCGCGTGAGGCAAGCGAGGCGTGTGCTAGCAAGTTAGTGAGGCCAGCGATTGTCGTGGATGATCAAAGAATTAAAGTGGTTGTAGACAATCCGATGGGGGGAAGACATGTACTTTTGTAAAAGATGCTCGACTCCAAAGTGAAGATTTGATGAAGAGGAGAACGTAGATAAAATGCAGATGAAGATGGAGATGGAAATGGAAATAGAGATGATGGAGATGCCTGGTGGATGGGACAAGGTTAAAGCTGAGCTTAGTCGCGGCGATGGCTCGAAGGATGGCTTGTGATGTGCCAGCGTTGAAATGCGATTCGCCAATTCCACGCATCAGATGCTGTTGTTGCACGTGGAAGGGGCATCCACTTCCACCAAGCAAGAAGCCTGAGCTCATTGAAGAAGATCCCCCTTTGGGTTGTTTGACTGCCCGCCTGACAAACGAGCTGCATCAAAAGATCAAAAAGTGTGCTACGCTGCTGGTACCCGCTTGAGGAAAGGGTGACACCACACCGCATGGTTTTGATGAATGAATGGAATCTGTGCATTATTTTCTCTTTGGCGACTCAAACTGGTACAGTTTTTACGAGAAGAAAAGCGTTATCCTGTATTGCAGAAGGAAGCATGGGAAGGGAGACGAGGTGTGGATCTGGTCAAGAAGAGGGAAGCAATCGAAGTGTAACACAGATATTTTAGTGTTGCCAGGCAGCCATTCTTCGCTAAAACTGCCGCTAGGATACAATTAATTCGCAGCATCATTGACCCCACCATCCCATGCACAGACCCTACCTTATTTTTGCCCCAGGGACCCCACTATTGACCTCCAGTCCTTGCTCCAAGCTATCAACTTCCCCACGTTTCTCCCACAAACCACACCTACCACGTCCACCACACGGCACTACGCGCCGTCACACCACCACACCACCGCACATAGACCGCCGCCCACCATGTCCCACCCCCGGGTAGAAGAAGTCTCGGAGAGCGACAGCGATGTCGACATGTCGGACCCCTCCGAGGGCGACATCGACGACTTCGTTGAGTCCGACATCATGCGACAAATCAACACACGCCCCCAGCAGCAACAACAGCAGAAACAACCACCCCAACGACAGCAACAACAACAACAACAACAACAATACCCCCAAATGCAAACCACCACCGACGACAAAGCCTACAAAGCCTACCAGTGCCTCTACCCAGTCTACTTCGACGCAACCCGCACACGGGCCGAAGGCCGGCGCGTATCGCGCTCTCTCGCCGTCGCCAACCCACTCGCCATCGACATCGTGCAGGCCTGCGCAGGCCTGCGCCTCCAAACCGTCCTCGAAGCGGGCAAGATCCACCCCAAGGACTGGGCGAACCCGGGGCGCGTCAAGGTCAACCTGCGCCAGCAGCAGCAGCCGGCCACCATCAAAAACAAGCATCACCTCTACACGCTCGTGGCGCAGCACCTGCTCGCCAACCCGACCACCGACAGCTCGCGCTCGCTGCGCATGGAGGTGCGCGGGGCGCCGATGCCCCCGCAGGCGCAGGAGCCCGGGGCGGCGTGGCCGCGGCCGGCGGTGCCGCGCGGGTGGAAGATGGGGGAACTGCTGCCGTACTACAGCCCGGCGATGACAGGCGGCGGGGTGAGCGAGAACTTCCTCAAGGACATGATGAAGGAGATGCAGCAGGGCGGCGGGGGCGGGCCCGGTGGCATGCCGGATATGGCGAGTCTGATGGCGGCTGCCGGTGCCGCCGGTGGTGGTGGCGGTGGTGCGGCTGGTGGGAGTGGGAGTGGCGGGGGTAAGAGGGAGAAGAAGGGGAAGGGGAAATAGAGTGGTTGTGTTTGCGTAGAGACGGGGTAATAAAATTCTTTTTTTTTTCTTTTTCATCCCCCTTTTGGGGGAGTTTGTTTTATTGCGCGTGTATGCCTGCTTGCCTGCCTCCGCCCCGGTTCACCGGTGGCGAGGCTTGATCTTGGACAGGGAGAGTGGTGTACATGTTTGATCCGGTTGAAGCGGGTTGGCGGAGCCATCGAGTTGGAAATATCTCCCTTGGCCAGAATAGGTACCGACAATGCAATTAATTCCAATAAGTTCGGCGTCACACCCATACATTACAATCGTATCCTCATTGGCGCTGACTGGTAGGCAGTACATGTTGTCCATATTCCATTACTCATCTATCTACCTGCGACTTTGTTTAGATCCATTCCTAACTGACCTACGGGCATCCCGACGGTTGTTTGTGCTGTGGCTTCAGTACGAAGCATGGAGGACATCATCACAACAATCACAACACGGCATGAATGAGACAAATGCAATCTTTGACCTACGCCCAGCCATCATATTCCCTGCCCTCTAAGCCTATCAGGGGTATCTTGAAAACAAAACGCCTCGCTATGCCACCAAAAAATACCGCTGTTGATCCAAGCCAAAGAAAACAAACGCTGATCTCCCCAGAGAAAAATGATACTCGCTTCCGACCATCCAAACAAAAGCCAACGCTCGACAATAACAATGCTTGTCCCCGACATGAAGAGCAACGCTGGTCTCCCCACAACACATATAATGCCCATCACCCGCTGGAGAAAGAAAAAAAAAAAAAAAAAGCAAACAACGCTCCTCCCCGTCAAACAAAACGCTTTCCTTACTCCTCACCAGAGCCCCGCCCGATGGTTTTCTTCCGCCTTGTCCACCGTTTCCAATAGCTGGGCGTAGGCCAATTCCCGTCTCTTCCGACTTGCCATCAAATTCTTCTCCGCCCTAACCGCCAAATTCCCTGCAGCCTCCATGCTCCAAGCGAGCATATTCTCACCCATCCTTGAAATGAGACACCTTCTGATTGATGATCCATTCTTCAACATTTCCGTTCGCCATGTTTTCCACTCCAGAAAATTCTGGACTTGTTGGTGTGCATGAAACTGGGGTGTCGCTTCGGCAGGCTTCCACGCCACCTTATCGGCGGGCAAGCTTGCCATGTCGTAGACTGTTGCGCTGCTAGCCAGATTGACCAATTCACCAAGCACAGCCTTACTCTCGCTGGCGATATTGGCTTTGCGCTGCTCGGCGGGCGGGACGTTCTTAATGAGCGGCTCGGCGAGCCAATCGTGGTTTGGTTGTTCGTTAGTCCGCGCGCGGCGGTTATCATCGCGCAGGTAGCGCAAGGAAGACCGGAGACCGTTAATCTCTGTCTTCAGGGTTTCGATCTCGCGTGCTGTGGCGACTGCACGCTCTTGGTTCGCTTTGGCACCAGCTTCGCCCTCTTCAGCGCCGCCACCGGTGACGGCACGGCTGCTGCTGGCAACCTGCTTCCACTTGTCGCATTCAAGCTCTAGCGACCTGAGCTCTCTGTCTTGCTTCTCGATGCTCTCGGAGAGGGTGGTGTTTTGCTCCTTCGCGGCTTCGATTTGTGATTCTAGCTCAGAGATACGAGATGTCTTGGCCTTGGCGTCTCGCATGCGGGACTCCAGGGTCTCGATCTTGAGCTGGGCAGTGCTGAGGTCCTCGTCGCGGATGGCGAGGTTGCGTCGAGTATTGTGGAGGTCATCTTTGAGACGACGGGTCTCGGCCTCGACTTCGATCGGAATTTTCTTGAGCATCTTGAGCTCCTGGCTCCGCAGAATCCATGGAGCCGGGCTGCGTTCAAATTCCTGGGTGTTGGATAAATCAATGCTGAGTGCTGCGAGATCCGAAATCTGCGAGGTGACGAATCGTAGTTTGTTGAGGTAAGTGGAAAATAGATCCGTCTCGTCTGCGCTGAAAGCAGTCATGGCGGTCTTCTGTGTGCATGACTGGACATCCGAGTAGGTGTACGGGTCGGCCCTACCTTCCTCGTGCAAGAAGCCGTGGAGGTCCAGGCCGATTCTCCGCGCCATGTCAGCGAGCTCGGCGGTTGCCGTCTCGCATTGCTCGAATGCATCTAGGGTCTCTGGAAGAAGAGAGAGCGATCTCGACTTCAGATCCTCCAGCGCGCGGACAGTCTTGTTTGCAATGACCTTGGCGCTGCGTGTCTGGGTGACAACGGCCTCGGCCTTTTTGGAAAAGTGTTGACCAAGCTCCTCGTCGTCTTGAGCGACAACCCGCTGAACCATGGTTGCCGTGGCCGCAAATGAGACGGCGGCTGACTCGAGGTAGCTTTGCATGAGGGATGCCTTCATGTGGATGTCGTCCGCAAAGCTTTCAAGGTCGGACGATATGTGAACCTCGCCGAGGTGGGTCATGAGGGCGATGGTGCGCTGCAGCTCGACAGAGCACTTCTTCTCGTTTAGGTCGTCCTGCTTCAAGCCTTCAATCCACCCGTTGAGGGCGCGCTCGACTGGCTCCAGCTCGTACAAAGCTCCCTCGTACTTGGCGAACTGCTCAAGGGAACAATGGCTGATGGAATTGATGAAACGGTCGCACATGCACGAGATCCAGGCGAGCTTGTCCATGGCGCCACAGCCCTCGAACAGCTCGTTCTCGTGACCGGGATGGGTTTGGCCGTTGACTCGCTCCTTGATGAAACCGTTGAGGATATCGGCCTTGGAGGCCAATCTCTTGAATCTCAACAGTGCCAAGACTGAGTCTCGGTCCGTTTGGTACGTGTCGGGAAGGAACATTGTAACGATCTCAAGGTGCTGCTCGGCCTCCTGCGCCTCCATACGGCGAAGTTCGAGATCGATTGTCTTCACTTGCGCCTTGGCGGCCGAGATCTGAAGTTTCATGTTCAAATCCAGCATGGCCCTGGACCGGGCGTTCAGTTGTTCAGATTCATTCTCGGTAACCGCCCGAGAAGCATGCATATCCGCGAGGTCGCTTTGCAGGTTGGTGACAAGCTCCCGGAAGCGCGACAGCGTGTATTCGTTGTCTTCGATGGCCTGCTGTTGTATGGCAGCCTGGCGAGCCTGCTCAGCAATCACGGCGTCCCGTTTGTCGATCTCATCCTGCATCTCCTTTTGATTGTTAACATGGTTAATCTCGAGCTCATCGCTTACCTCCTTGAGCTCCTCCAAGTCAAGGATGGTCGCTTTGAGTTCCTTAATCTCTTCAGACTGGTTCATCGTCTGCTCCGTCAAGGTTTCGATGATGTCTTCAGCGCCGAGTGCGTTGTCAAGCTGTTCTCTGAGGTCCTCAACGGCACTCTCCTTCTGAGCCAATTCGATTTCGCAAGCATGGAGTTTGTCCTTGAAGGCGTCACCCTCGGCAAGGGTGTCCTGCATCTCCTTGATTTGGTGCTTGAACTCGTCCTCTTGCTCTCGCGAGATGTCTCGGAGTCTGATCAAGGCTTCCCGGAGGCGTTCATTGTCTTTTTCCATCTGAAGCCAGCCGGTGCTGGCGATGTCCTCGGATGACATGCCTTTGGTGAATTCAGAGTTCTCCTCCCGAAGGATATCGACTTCCAGCTTGAGCTCCTCCGTCTTGTGTTTCAGGGCGTCTAGCTCCGTCTTGTAGACGTCGGCCATCTCTTCCGCCATCTCACGGTCGAGGGTGGCAAGCTCCATTGCCGTCTCATGTTCCTGCTGAATGTCCTCGACGTTGTAGAGGCGAGACTCGGCCTCTTTGAGTTGACGTTTAAGCTCAGCGATTTCCTGCTGTTGGGGCTGATACTTGATTTGCAGCGTCTGAATAATCCGCTCAAATCTGTCGCGTTCGCTCTTCATTTTGTCGAGATCGTTGAGCTTCTCCCGGTCCTCGATTCTCTTCTTCTCGAGGACGCGGAGCTTCGCCTTGAGATCCTCGATCTCTTTCGTAGCAGCTGCGTTGCCAGCTGCGGGCCGCGGGGATGCCGCGGCGGCACTTGATGGTTTGGTGGGCTGTTTCGTGGCCGTGGTTGGTTTGGTGCTCGTTGAGCCAGTGAGTTTCTCGAGCGCCATGGTCCTCGACTGGACAGGGCTGGTGATGGGGGGGGATCCAACGTCCTCATCGCTGCTCTTCGGGCCAGACGCAGCGCTGCTGGAGCTGGAGCGTTTACCGGTGGTGTGAAACTTGGCAGATCCCGGGATGGCGACTGAAGAGGCTCGAGTAACCGCCGAACGAACAACATTGGGTTTGGTGGTGACAGCCAGTCGGCCACTAGGGGTACGTGTAGGGGCACCAGTAGTCTTGGGAATTCCACCGGTAGTCTTTGGAACGGCGGCCGATGAGGCTTGACGAGTTTGCCTGACTGGCATCGGAGGCGGGGCCATCGAGGGTCGGGCCGTGGCGATGGCCGGACGTGAGCGAGCTCCCGGGGCAGGTTTTGCATTGGACGGGGTGGTAGTGCGGGATGGAGCTCCGCTCGAAGGCGCAGTGCCCAGTTGCTTGGTGGGTGATCTGGTGGGTGACTGTGGAGAAATTCGTCAGTGTGGCGCTCTTGCCAATATATAAAAGACGACTTACTCTGATCCCAGTAGGTGTACGGGTTTGTTGCTTTTGGCTCGGTGTCGGGCTTGGTGCGTTTAGGCTGATCCGTTTGGTCAAGCCCGGATCGGCCGGGGTAGAACCTCGAGAAGAGGCTGAGAACATGCTGCTAGGGCGGCCTTTTTTCTTGGGCTGAGGGTACAGCGGAGCAGCCGGCTCGGCGAGCAGCTTCAAGGCGGTGGGACGGACGAACATTCCGTATCCCATGTCGCAGTCAAAGTAGCGAACGTCATTGACGCTTCCGTCGTTCTTGCCGGAATCGTCATCGAGCTCAACACCGACCCAGAGGCCAGGTGCAAAGTTGGTGTGGCCAAAGAATCGGATGAATCCTGCCCATCAATGTCAGCTGCATTCTAGCACTGGCGCTTCCTCAAGAGCGACCGAGGCCACAGGAGGGAAGGGCATGTAAAGCTCAAGGAGCACAAAAACAACGTACCATGGCGCTGGTCAGCCAGCTGGACTCTGCGTCCTTCGGCCAACTCCAGCACGGACATGTTGTCAAAGACAGATACCTAATTCTGAGACATAATGCTGTGTCTGTTCGTTCAATTGATGGTATTTGATGTGTGTACAGTGGCTCGTGACCGAAAACAAGTGGCTTGTAGTTGAATGTTGGAAGTGGCTTGTGGCTGAAAATCGAAAGCGGCGGAAAGCTGAGAATGGCTGAAAGTGGCTCGTGGCTGAAAGTCGAAAGCGGTTGACAAGTCGAAAGCGGTTGACAAGTCGAAAGCGGTTGACAAGTCGAAAGCGGTTGACAAGTCGAAAGCGGTTGACAAGTCGAAAGCGGTTGACAAGTCGAAAGCGGTTGACAAGTCGAAAGCGGTTGACAAGTCGAAAGTGGCTGGGATTTGAAAAGTGGATGAGTGTCGAATGTGGCTGAGAGTTGGATGTGGCTGGATGGTGAAGTGGCTGAAAGTGCGTCGCGTTGCTGTGGTGTGCTGGTTCTGCTTTCTGCTGGCCGAAGTCTGTCGGCGGCGGCGCAAGTGCTCCTGGTTGCGCGCGGTTGCTGAAAGTTGGAGATGTGATGACTTGTGTCTTTCTCTGTTCGATTCTGATAGCTTTTCGATGGATTTCTGATTTCTTTGGATGCGTTTGCGATCTGATCAAAAAGCTCTTTCTTCTGAAGAAGTTGAAAGGAGAAAGAGAGGGAGAGCGCGACTGCGGGCGAGAATAAAAGCACAGAAAAGTGGGGCACAATCAGCCAGCTCCCAAAGCAGAACCACCAACCCTTTGGGAAGCAATTGCTTTGGAGAAGGAAGGAACGACACGGTAGAGGGGAGGAGCAAAGCCTGTCAGGCACCAATGAGCTTTCCAGAGGGCAAAAACAAGCCCACATTGGGAAGGAACGACCCCGAGGAGAGCAGGAGCAGGGGCCTGGGGGGGAAGGAGCGTGGTGTCGTGCCTTCCTCGCGGGGGAGGCGGCATTATTCGATCGCGGTGGTGCGGATTTCCTAATCTCTCCCTCTTTTATCACATCAGGTTGACCGGTTCGACTTGCGTTTGCCAGCCGCCGCCCATCATCAACAAATCTCCGGTGTATCAGGGGCGGTTACACCAATCTCTTGAACCCTTGGGCCGGCCCAGACATTCCCCGGATCTCATGCGGCTTCCCGAGACACGCCCATGTCTTGACGGGTGTCTCGGATGACGGGCGGAGGGGCTTGACGGGATGTCGTGACCGGTTGTTTCGTGTTCCGTTTACCAACCGCCAGGGCTAGAATCAGTGTTTTGTCGAGCTGTTACGTAGAATTGATGACAATCCATGTGATAGCGGTGTTCGTGATGGACTGAGTAACAGGAACAATCACTCCCATCCGGGCAGGGACGTTGTAGAATGCAGATACTGCGTAGTTCCTTCCATTTCCCATCACAACATGCCATCGCCAACCATCGCCAGCCATCACCCTTCCATCTCCCCGAATCAACAACTCAGTTACACAAACAAATTACCATTCCAGCTACCTGATATACAAACTTTGATCTAAGGGTAGATACGCAGATACTATCCAATCTAAAATTCCATCACCATGCCACCATCGAGCCCGCGCCCAGCATTCAACCAACTCCCACCGCGCACCCACTCAACGACTCGAACCCCAATCGCCTCTCCGTTTTCTCATCAACCGCAATCTCGACATCCCTCTCGCCATACCCAGACCCGCTACCAAAAGCCACGCTCGGCGCCATCACCACCATCAACTTCGAATTCCTAACCTCGACCGACCACGGCCCCATCACCACACCACTAGCACCCCCGTCCTCTCCCATCCCACCGGCACTACCACCAACACCACCACCAACAAAAGAACCCGCCACCTTCGCCGCCGCCGTAAAGGGAGATGCACCAGAAGAAGAAGCAGAAGAAGAGGAAGAAGGCAAAGAAGCAAGCGAAAAATCCCACGGAACATAAATCACCAGATCGGCCCCGACAACGCCGCGCCACAGCGTCGCCATCCACTGCCAATGGTCGACGGGTGCATAGGCGTCGGGCGATGGGGACGGTACAGGCGAAACGATCGGCGAGAGTGAGAGAGAAGCCGGAGGGGAGGAACGCGATGGGAAGGCGGCGCGTCGTCGATGGAGCTGTGGGGG